CGCATACGATGATGCCATGTACCACCTCCGTGGAGACGGTTCCTATGTCAGATATGGGAGAACCAAACTCGGTTTGTATGGTACCGACATTGATGATCTCGAGAAGCAAATCATGAACTCCTACGAGAAGCAGAACTCACCAGCCGTTCTTAATCAGATGGTCCAGACCGTCGAAGGAAATATAGAAGGCTTCACCAAGAAGCAAGTGAAGGGAGCTTTCCAAGCAAGAGAGCTCTATGCGAATCTCCAACGTCCGCCTTTAGAAGACTTTAAGAATATGATCCGAGCCGGGCAGATCCGCGATTGCCCCGTGATGTTGGAGGATATCAATAATGCCGAGCTGATCTTTGGCAAGGACATGGCCAAGATCAAAGGTTCCACTACCCGGAAGCGTCCACCACCAGCTACCGAGAGTGTACATGCAGTCCCTGAAGAGTTGGTGTCCCATCACCGAAATGGGCTACCAGGTGCCATGGATGTCGTCAATATTTGTGGTCTCAACTTTCTCTCCTTTATCGATTTGAAAGTTCGATACAGGCAGATCGTCCATTTGAAAGATTTGACCACGGACTCCTATTATCAGGCCCTGGATCAGATTATGGACACGTACAACGGGAATAAATTCTACATCGGAACCATCCAGTGTGACAATGCGTTCAAGCCGTTGATGGACCCGATCAAGAACGATATGGGTGTGAAACTCGACCATCCGGCAGCACAGGTGCACGCTCCCGTCGCAGAGCGAAACAACAGGACAATCGAAGACCGTTTCCGAGCAGGTTTCCACGCAGTCCCTTTTCAAGTGATGCCGAAAATTATGGTGGAGCATCTGGTCTACGATTGCAATGAAAAATTGAATCTCTTCCCAGCAGCCGAGGGAATCTCCCGTGTTTACCCTCCAAGGCAGATTTTGACTGGTAAGACCACAGGCTACAATGATGTCAAGTATACGTTTGGCAGTTTCTGCATGGGTCATCACGAATCCCCTGCAGCCCGCAAGAACAGTGCCGAGCCCCGTGGGTTGGAATGCATCTATCTGCGTCCAATCCTGGACAACAGCAAGGGTGGCCATTATTTGTTGGACTTGCACACCTGGAAGGTGAAGACACGCCAGTATGTTGACATTCTCCCGATGCCCAAGATTGTGATTGAGCGTGTGGAAAAGAAGGCCTACAGTGAGGGCATTAAGCGGGAAGAACCTCACCATTCCAACTTAACAGCGATATTCAAAAGAACAGTATCGAAATTAGCATCTTATGGCAAGGCAACCCCATTAGCACTGTCAAGACCTTCGGGACACGACACTGCAGCCTATGCAACAGGGAGCGACTCGTGATACTGAAACAATCCAGAGAATCGCCAGAAAAGCTGATCAACTTCTGCAACAAAATATACAGAGCATGCCGATATAAACATCGATTTCATAAGTACCACAATAGCCCAAGCACTGATGATTCTCAAGGGGGATGAAAAAGTCAAACAACCGAAAAGTTACTACAGAGTAAAGCCTGTATTTTAGCGATTCGGCAGTTTGTGCTGATCAAGAGTAAAACTACTTAATTCAGTCACTTTTTGCTAAAATCGTATGTAGAACCTCATACACTAGTATGAGAACTGAGTTTTGGTGGCAGCCACAGAAGCGAGAATCTTTGCTTGTGGGGCATGCATGCCATCCACAGAAACAACAAATGGATGGAAGGAATCAGAATTGGAGTTGCATGGGGTGGAAATTTTCTCGCGTTCTTGTTTTGTTAAAACTTTGATTGGATCTTTGTTTTGGTAAGAGGCACAGTCCAAATCCATGACTCGTTCATCAATAATAGCAGTAGTACCACGTTCGAACAAGCTGCAAATGGAAGATCACCGCGCAAGAGTTCGGAGGAGGGGGCAAGGAGGATTGAGAGGGGGGATAATGTGGAAATAGGTGACAGGAGGGATAGTGAGGGCGGGAACCTGGAGCGTTCCTCAATCGTGCATGACCTTAAATCCGACCCTAATTTAGGGTCGGTTTGGGGGAATCCGTCCCTAAATATAGGGACGGTTTCAAAACCCGACCCTAAATCGAAACCCGTCCCTAAATTAGGGACGGTTTTTCAGAAACCGTCCCTATTTTTAGGGTTGGTTTCGAAACCCGTCCCTAATATTGGTGCATTTTTTAATGTATTTACCTTTCAGTCCCGTTTCCATTTAGAGATGTTTTTCAAACCCGACCCTAAAACAAAACCCGTCCCTAAATTAGGGACGGTTTTTCAGAAACCGTCCCTATTTTTAGGGTCGGTTTCGAAACCTGTCCCTAAAGGGAATCCGACCTTAAATCCGACCCTATTTTATGGTCGGTTTCATGCATGATTGAGGAACGCTCCTGGAGAATTGCTTCCACCACAAGGTTTGGAAGGGCAAGCAAGGATTCGTGAATCTTTATGTTTGCCATTTACCTTTGGAAATTTATGTTTGCTAGTTATAGTTGTGAGCTAGCAACACATGGTTGGTAGGACATGGATGTCAAAACAGACCAAGGAGCAAAGTTTTTTGGTTGGGGAAGCCAGCTGGCAGACTGCGGAAGAAACAGGGTGTTACTATTGTCGACCATGAGACATATGGTTTTGGATGATTTGTCTGAATTGGGGAGGAATCTGCTCAGGTACTTCATTGGACTGGCAGACTACACGATCTCTTCCAAGTTGCCACGAGAAATTGCCATAATACAAAACTCGCCGCCCACAGGAACACACACACACAACGACGGAAAAGATCGCAAAAGGATAAAATGGTCTTGCCTCTGAACTAAAGGGGGCGTGGTGAAACGCCGCATCAGTGTGATCCTTCCAATGCTTTTCTCGCGTCTCATGGTGGCACTACCGTGCTGCACATACGGTGCGACAAAATCTACCAATCAAGGAGTGCGTCGGGACAAAAAGACCTCCCCTATTTGCTCACTTTTGGTCCAGAAAAGCAGCCATGGCAAGGCACACATCAATGAAGATTATCTATCTCCATGAGCGGAGCGTTGCTTTGTGCTTGGGAGTGAGCGAATGAGGCACCAAAGGTCACGGCATCTGCTAAAAACTAAACTTGTTCAGAGGAAGTGCAACCTGGATGGCACAACAGTACGACAATTCTCAACCAACCGGACATTTTCCAAAGATACTGTACATACTACCAGTAGTTTCCAAAGACATGGCAGCGCTGGTCCAACGACTTGCTTGAAGCCAAGCGAAGCGGAAGAGACGACACCTTGAACCGTGCAGTTTAGAGTTCTGTTTCTGTCAATTCTCGAGGGATGATCCAATCATTATGATTACTCCTTGGCTCGACCATGGAACTACCTACTTCCAATTGAAAAGTGGGGTCTGAGTGGGGTCTGAGTGATCGTGGACGGAGTCCAGCTTCCTTTGCCATACTTGCAGCGAAAGTTGTTGGGCTCACTATCGGGGCAAAAACGAACGCCGTGTCGATCCAGAGAGGGTGAAAAATGATATCCATGTTCCGTCCCCGTGATCTGCTTGCTTCGCCTTGCCATCCAGCTGCTTCCAGTGATGTACCGTAATGGGGCTGGCAGTGGCCTGGATCCGGCCGTGTCGTTTTTGGCGGTGGGTACCCAAATATTGTGCGCTCCTCCATTGAAACTTCGCTCCATGTACCGGCAGCACCAGCGGGCACGGTGGACACGACAACCCAATTTCCAACGGGACCGCTGGAATTCATCTTCAAGAGACACAGTTGACCCTGCAAGTTGACTCCAGCAACCATCGTGCCATCGTTGTTGGTGGCCACTCTCTGAAAACTGTGGCTGCTTTTGGCGGCCATGCATGGGATGTATGGTAATAAAAGTGCCCATTCTGTTTCAAGGCGACCATTCGCGAGTGATCCGATGCGAGGTCCAAATAGGACCAACCACCAGGATAGTGCGGGGGGTCGCCACCTTTGTTGTACGAACTCTACGTATACATCGAAGAGAGAGAGAGAGAGAGTGCTGGAACGGCTCAAGAGAGCGCCCTCATTTAGCTCCATTAATTTTATTTGGCCATTCTTCTTGACGCCAAGAGCCGTCCTGTCATTTGTCATGGCAGCATGCACAATGACATGGCCGCCTGTGGAGGAAATAGTTGTGGCGTTGGAAGACACCAAAAGTCGGTAAGTCAATAAGGATTCTCGATGGAACATCAGGAAGCCCCCAACAAGATATCTTACTTGGCAACTTGAACCAGTTGATCCATTCATTTCGTAAATCTTTCAACGGCGCAACAGCAAGCACCCGGTGAGCTCAACTTCGGGGGAGTGAAATGAATGACCTCTAGCAAGCACCAAGCACAGCTCAGGCTATTGGGTCTACCTCGTCATCCAAAACGACCAACACGTATTTGCCATTGGAACTTACCGAAACACGCATGTCAAAGCTGAGAATGGCAGCAGTACCCAGGGTGGGAGCTGGGGTTGGCTTGGGGTGATGGCCTACTAGTGGGTGCGGGTGGCTGGGCCGGTCACGGAAAAGTGGATCACAGGGCAAAATGTCAGAGCACTGGTACTGCAGTGCAAGCTGCGGTGGCCATCATTGGCCACGCCGTACACAGCTCCAGGTCGAATGGGAGCAATCGTTTTCATCTTGGGTCCCTACTTGGTCCATCCCAAAGTGGACGGGGTGGCCCGCTAAGGTCGAGTGTGCCATGAAAGACATCACTGTTGGCATCAATGACCCAATACTGGTGGTCCCTCAAATGGCCACGTCTCGGAGGGGTGTTGCTCCCGTGGGAGTGGCAATGGCAGCCCAAGCACTTGTGGCACCAGTCTGAGCATTTGTCACCTTGTGGCCTGCCAAGTTCCCAGAGGTCTTTCCAATGCCTACAAACGGAGTCATATCTTCCTTGAACGTGGAGTGTGGTAACAAAAAAGCTGTGGGCTGTTCGTTTTGATTGGGGCACTTGAACCTTCCCAAATCGATCAAAGCCCACTTACATTTCATACTTGAACCCCGCCGTCCCCGGATTTTGCATTTTGGCACGATGGACCACTCGCCGGACCTGATTCTGATCGCTCGAAAATTCACCGTCAATGTGGCCACATCCATCGCCGTACGCAGTCCACGCAGACCACCCTTCCACACCTGTGTGTTGTGGATCGTATTCACGATTGTCACAATTTCCACTCGACAACAATCCACCAAGACAACATTGGCAACGACCATTGTCTGTGCTCTTGACATGGCTGAGGTCAATCAATCTTCCTTGGACAGCTTGTCGTTATCATCACACAATACCGGTATAGGCAAAAGAAAAAGGGAGCGAGCATCTGCCAACAAGATCTCCTACGGCACACAATCGAAACAATTAGCAGGCCTACACAAGCGAAACAAAAAGAATCCTTGACCATGAAGTTTGCCTTGAGCGTGGGCGTTTCACCGCCTTGGTCTGGCACCGACGTCATCCGTCGGTAACAGCGGTCTCACTTTGGATACCTTTCAGACAATTGGAAACGCCGGCTACTTCGCTACGAAACCGACATTGGTGTGCTTGAAGTGTCTTGAATAGATTCGATTATGATTCGACAAAAGGACTCACCCAACATGCGACGTTTTTTCTACTCAGAGACGAAACATGGAGTTTCTCCAGAAATCCCTGGCAGATTTGAATTTAGTGGCAACGAGATGGCGTTGGGAATGGACCGTCTCACGGTGGGTTCCAAGGCGTTGCAGGATTTGCTCGTGCAAGCTGCCAATGACCAAAATATCCCCGAGCTCTTGAAGGACGCCATCTTCAAGGCTGATGTCTTTCTCGAGAAATCCAAGGAGACGACAGTGGAAATTCAGGAGGGCCGTCACCGTCGAGCCTTGTTGGCAGAACCAACAGAAGAAGAAACCAAGAATCCGCGCCGCCAAACACACCGGCTGGCTTCCCTCCAGCATCCCAAAGCGCGCCATCATATCAAGATCCAGGAAGCTCTCGAAGGAGGCGACCATTCCATCCACACAAAGGCTCACGACAAATTAAATAGGCACCTCAAAGACAGGCAGGGGACCCTCAGGAAGGCTCCTTCGGTCCTCTGATGAAGTGACGAAACAAAAACCAGAGCATCGAAATCTCCTCAACCCCGCTTCTGTGCCGTCCTCAAGCCCCAGCATGAGTGCATTCCCAAGTACCAGCATCAGCCCAAGCGGTGCACCCAGCGTATCACCAAGCCTTGCCCCTACCGACAGTTCACAACGCAGCTCTTCTGCAAGTACCCCTCCATGTCTGGCTCCATCATTCACCCCTCCAGAGCAACTAAACATGTCAGTGCTTTTGTCATAGCCAGTGGTGACTACATAGGGGGTGCCCAAGGGCTTGTCAATGGAAGTTCGGACGATGAATTCTATTTTACGCAGGGTGTGTCCTTTCACACGAATTCCTGTGATTCCATTCCAGGACATGCCCACACGTGACGGTGGATTTGGGGGACAAGTACAAACTCTCGGAAGTAACACTCCACCTCTATTACAATGATTCCCGCGCGTATTGTGGATGAGCTTGCAACTTTCGACGGCTAAGTTCACGTGGGATGCCGTCTTGGACACGGGATCCGAGTGGGGCCCGGCATCCAGCGAGGACGGCCTGACTGTGAAGTTTGCAGTGGCAAGGTTCATTCGACATGCAGAGGCATGAGCAGCAAATCCGAGTGGACATTATTGAAATTGAAGCCAAATATGTAAGTCTGTCACTCGCTCTCGTTTTGGTTGATGAGTTTGACCTTGGCCGCTGACATTGTCGATCTTGCTGTGTATTAGTTTCCGCGGGACTCGTTGATGCCGAACTTGGCAGAATTAGAGGCAACCATCACACACAGCAACAGCCATGGTTTTGGAGGTGATGGCTAGGACAACTCTGGCGCTCACTGGAAGCCTGATGCCTGTGTTGTTTCCCAAGCACCCCATGTGACTATTGAATTGAAACAGTATTATGACTTGTCTGCCGTGAGCATTTTTGGTATCGCAGATGGACGAGCCAATTGTGGGCAAAGTGCCCAGCTTTCCGAAAGTCCAAGTGCCCTTGGACAAATGTTTGGGATACAGATACTGGCTCAGGTGTGGGCCCAGCGTTTACTCCAGAAGGCAATAAAGCGACCTTTGCTGCAGGGCGTGCACGATATGTCAAATGCACAATTGGGAATCAGCTCCTTGCGAATAATGTATGGTACCCCTGGGCTGCCATCAAAGAAATCCAAGTCCATCAGGTACGTAGGGAGAACTCGGGGAGCTCCAGCCCTTGGCTTCAGCCTTCCTGGGTCTTTCACCGTTACTTGTTCGTTTCATGGTCACGCAGGTTCCAGAATCAGCGGCAACCAACGACTGTTTTGATTTGGTCAAATGACTGCAGACTTGGACGCTCTATGATGGTGAGTCGTAGCAGGCCTTGGTGTTGCATTCTCTGCTCGAAGACTTATCCTCGCTCCTTTTCATGTAGTATTACAAGAATCTCTTCCTCGATAGCTACGGTCCCTACATTCCTGACGGGATTGTCAATCAATACCCTAACCTTGAAGCTGTTTGCAGCAGGTTTCTCTCGTCTTCAACTTCGAATGACAAGAAGCTTGCCTTTGTTGCAGAGAGCGACGAAATTGTTGACACGCTCCTCGCATACTCGGTTGAAGTAAGCTGTGTACTGGTTGTTTTCCGCGTCACTACAATGCTTGCCTGTTCTCGCCCTCACAAATCTCCTTTCGGTCCCTTTGTTTATGACGACTGCACCGATTCGATGCCCCCCTTGAAACTGGACACATCCAGGACAAACAGGGGCTGCGTGGTTGCGAAAGGAGGCAGATAGCAACGGTTCGGAGACAGCAAGCTTGCTCGTACCCACATGCGGTTGACTTATTGCCAACCTCTGGCTACTAGCTAGCTGCGCATGCACATGCAAAACCCTAGCTAGTGGTACTGGTATCACATGACTACCAGCACAGATCCCAGCATGGAAGCCTTCACATGTTGACTTTTACGAGGCATCAAGTGAGGCAAAGGTTCTACTATTACGGTTCCGATCGTTTGAAGCTGGAGTCCTATTTCTTCCCCTCTCCTCTACCAGTAGTTCGTGCGCCCATGTCTTTGGGCATGATTTGTTGGTGGACCAGCCCACGTTCCACTGCATCTTTCTTCACTACAACCTGGTAGACAGTCTCCAGCTTGATCCATCCGAACCGTTTCCCAAGCTTTTGGTCTAGCTCCTTGCTCAGCTTGTTGTCAGAATCTTGCAGTTCCAGACCACTGAGGGTATTGCGTTGCTGCTCCTCAGCATCAGTTCGGGCAATGCAATCAAACTTCTCCTTGTGCTCCTCGTTGAAAGGTTTGACGGGCATGACTCCTTCGTTGCCATCCGCAATGTAGCCTGCCCCGGCATTAAACATGAAACAATGTCCAACATTGTTGAATCCACTGTCAGAGTTTACCTTCATCTGCACCACCACCAAAAAACAGCCTTGCTTCTCATTGAAAAGCTGGTAGAAAGATCTCAACATAGGAAAACGATCCTTATCCTTCCTTTTCTTGGATCTGGTGATCACTTTGTACATATTGTTGAGTTCCTTATTCAGTTGAACAGCAACCGCAAACAAATGTTCATGCTGCTTCCACTCTCCAGTCTTTGGCTCGCGCCTTTTATCATTTTCAAATGCCTTGTGCATGTCACTGACTGTCAAGGCAAAACGCACACCAATTGCGTTGCAACCTGCTTCAAGGAGGCAGTTGTCACCTGCGTGCAACAAGAGAAGTGTAAGGTTATCCAAGTTCCCAGCAACAACTGACCCAGGTTTCTTCACTCACCATTGAAACGCCAGGCCCTCCCACTTTTTAGATGGACTGCATGATGCAAATCAATGCAAGTGTTACTTCTCTCACCATGCTCTCGGTAATCCTGAAGAGGCTCAGGCCATGGAATCCCCGTGACAGAATTTTGACCTTTCCGATTGGGATCGGTCCAGAGATTCTGCTCGTTTTCATCCAGAAATCGATCAATCTGTGCAATTCTTGTGATGATTTCCTTACGGCGATCTTGATCCAGAGAGACCTTCCCAAGCTCCTCCTTGAGACGTTCCTTTTCGTTTTGTAGCCCAATTCTCCGTTGTCGATCTTCATCGTGTGTGATTTCCTCCCTTGATCTATCTCTCTTCTTCTGGTCATTGCCCTTTTTGTGCTTCTTCCTTGGCTTGCTCTTTTCAGGTCGTGAGTTTGGCTTGGCTGTCGCTGCCTCAGGCTTTCCCGCCTCATCTTCGGAGGCCTTTGCTTCCTCTTCTTCATCATCGCCTGTTGTTGATGCTTCGGTGGCAGTAGCAGCATCAGAGGCTTTGCTGTTCTTCTGCTGCTTTCGAACCGTGGCACCTTCAGGAATGGTGAGAGTGGCAGTACCAGAAGCAAATTTGGAGGCTTCAGCAGAAGGTAGAGATATCGAGGGTGGCTTTTTGGAAGCCTCGGCCTCGTCTTCAGAAGAGGCCTCTTCCCCTAATGCACCGCTTGTGGCCAAACTCCCAGGCACCCTGCCAGGTTCGGAGACTTTGCTGGGGGGGGGGTCCCAGATCTTTTCATGTAACAAGTCGAGAGGCAGCCAGGCTGTCGGGTGTCGTCTTCGAAAGAAGCCTTTGCCTCCTCCTCATCATCACCACTTGTTGCCAAACTCCCTGAACCTCCCTTTTCAGTGATACCGACAGTACTAGTAGCCGCTTCGGAAGCTTTGCTTCCGCCGGCCAAACTCCCTGAACCACCCTTCCCAGTGATAAAATCATCCAATACAGAGGACCGAGGGGCTCGTCCGGAGGCATCCACAGTCTCTCCTCGGAAGGACAGAGCTTTGTCCTCTTTGTCTTCGCCATCGTCAACATCCATGGAAAAGCCGACTGAGGCTGGTCTCTCTTTAGTGACTTTTGGGGTAGCCGTCCCAGGCGTCTCATCCTCATCACTGCCGTCAACCTCCGCTGAAGTTGTTGTTTGCTCCCGAGCCAAGGGTGGTTGCTTCCCAGAAGTTTCTTTTCCCAGAGTTTCATCATTGTCGTCAACACTCGTAGTTGACCCTTTCGTGGCAGTAGCCAGCAGGCTTCAAAGCGTGGCTGCACCCTAAATCATCCGAGGCAGAGGGATCCCCAGTCTTTCCTCTGGAGGACAGAGCTTTGTCCTCGTAGTCTTCACCATCGTCAACTTCCATTGGCATGTGCAGGCGTTCCTCTGTGTTGACTTTTGTGGCAGAATCAGGCGAAGTTTTCTCAGATACGAGCATGTCCTCCTTGTCCACATCCATGTGAACAACGGGCGGGCTGGTCTCTCTTTGGTGGGTTTAGGAGCGGCCTCGAGTGAAGCCTTCGCAGATTGGAGGCTCTGCTCATCGTCGACATGAATATGATCGCGAGCAATAAGTTTCAAGAAGGTTCAGTTCCAGTACTCAAGTAGTGGACTGGACCTTGCTGAAGCCCTTCCTCAGGGACAGCGGTAGTCAGGCAGTAAGGAAGCCTTGTCGTGCCTCAGGAGTATCTAACACCTCCAGTAGGCACCAAACCAAGGGCTTGGCTCTGTCAGTCAGACAGGAGGGCCAGCAGAGCTCTCTGCTGGACCCTTTGGGCCAGCTCTCCTCAGGAGCTGGGGGCCTTCGTTATTCAATCGTGCAGTGGCAGTCTGGGAACAGTACTATCTGCTACCTCCTACTGCTTCTGCCCGGCCTCAACAGGATAGGTATCAACTGCTGCGGTATCAAAGGGGCTACAAGCTAATCAGGATCTGTCTCAATCTTTCGTACTATTTTCTTAACTATGGTAGAAAGGACAATCCTTTCTTGCTGCTTTGCTGGGAGATAAGCCAACTGAGCATGCTGGAGTTGTAGGCCAGCATAGCTGTTGGAGCTATCCCAGAGGAATCCAGAGCTCTCGCTCCTAAAAGTTATCGCTGCCCACGAGTGCGTATGGATTCGCTCTCATGGGTCTGCCACGATGTACGATTAGTTACTAACTAACTATCTATAAACTCTCCCCATGAACAAAACATTCATGGGCCACTCAGCATCGGCTGCTAGTGGGACACAATGTGAGATGGGGATCTCACAAGTGGAGGGACTTGCATGGTTGGTCGGTTGCTGGACCAAAGGTAGGCGCAAAGGGATTGCGTGCTTCATCAGCATGGCCAGACTCGGTAGGTGTTGGCGGTGCTGGTTGCTATCATAGCTGTTGTTTGTTTTCTTCATATGTAGACAAATATTCGTGGCTTTGCCACAGGCCGAATTCAGCGGTGGCAAGCTCTCAGTGGAGCGGCCTTCTTGCCCCGCAATCATGTCCCTTGACTCTCCCCATGAACGAAACATTCATGGGCCACTCAGCATCGGCTGCTAGTGGGACACAATGTGAGATGGGGATCTCACAAGTGGAGGGACTTGCATGGTTGGTCAGTTGCTGGACCAAAGGTAGGCGCAAAGGGATAGCGTGCTTCATCAGCATGGCCAGACTCGGTAGGTGTCGGCGGTGCTGGTTGCTATCATAGCTGTTGTTTGTTTTCTTCATATGTAGACAAATATTCGTGGCTTTGCCACAGGCCGAATTCAGCGGTGGCAAGCTCTCAGTGGAGCGGCCTTCTTGCCCCGCAATCATGTCCCTTGACGGATGGGATGGATGGGCTGTACCAGACAGGGACGTAGTCTAGTTGCCCGTCCGAAAATCCAGGGACGGTGCTAGCAGCACGGACTGGAGGGATCCAATCCTGTGGGCCATCATGGAAGCAAACACATGATGGAACCACATGCCAAACACTTGAGGACTCCCCATTGCCTTGGAGACATGGGAGACTGAGACCATGGTGGTTCGAACCTTGGACTCATCCTGTGGTGTGACATTGTTGCTGCTGTCAGACAGTGGTGGTGGTTGTCGACAAAGGGATGGTCGACTGGGTGGCATTGCTGCCATAGGGATCCTCTCATTTGGCACAAGCCTAGTGGCACTGGGAGTACCAAAGAGAGGTGGTCCGGGATGGACCAAGCTGGGAATCCTTGGTGTCGTTCGACATGGTGGACACTTGGATCTCCAGCCAAGGTTGATTGTTGCACCTGCCCTGGAAGCTGTTTGCTTGAAAGCATCCTGCTTTGGGTGTGCACTTGCTTGCAAAGGGATCCTCTCGTTTGGCACGAGCCTGGTGGCACTGGGAGTACCAAAGAGAGGTGGCTCTGCTATAACCGCGTTGGTTGCCTTGTGTGTCGCCTTGATGGGCAAACCGTGGGGCATCCAACATGGGTTGGTTGTCGTGGGTCTACCAAAGGACGTGCGGTCCTGCTTGGAAGGGACAGCCATTGGGTTGAATTTCCTGGGATGGTGGAATCGTCCAGCTAGAATCGTTGTTGCTGTTGGCTACAGTACTAGCCTGCCCATAAGCCAATGTAGAAGCTGGGTGACTACTGGAGCTGAAGGTAGGCAGCTCTGTAATCTCCCCATCACCCAGTGATGCATTGGGAGCACCAGCGAGGGCAAATGGTGGCACTGGAGCAACCAAGGGAGTGGCATTGGGCAGCTGGTTGTTGGTCGCAGTGACTCGCAAAGGACGAGTGGCTGGCGACTCCCCACAAGCTGGCTTGGAAGATGACTGGTGGTTGGTTGTGTCACCGACCAAAGGGTGAGTGACACTAGTTCCAGGCAACTCCCCACAATCGTGCTTGAGAGATGTGTGGTACCGGTTGTGCCTCCTGGTCGCGGCTGCTTTCTGCCTAAGGGCAGCTGCTTTTCCATTGATCTTCTCGAGGTTTCGACTAAGGGACTTGTCAAGCAGCTGATGAATGCACCACTGTCGCTCTTCAATGAGACTATCAAGGGTAGTGCCAAGGGCTTGGATAGAGGTGTGCTGCTCATCCAGACTCTTCATGATGGCCTGAACCGTATCCTCCCGGGTTGTAGGGGAAGTGTGGCCGGTTGTTCTTGGGCTAGCCTGTTTCCTTGGTTCTCTAGCCTTCAAGGCCTTCCGTGATGGTGGAGGAGTCACTGTGGGTATGTAGAGTGACATGGTGCCTCTTGTCATCTGCTGCCACAGGAAGAAGTGTAGCTTGTAACTGGGAAACAGTGAAATTCAGCTGTTGTAGCAGTACAATAAACCTTGACTCAACTGTAATCTGGAAACCACAAAGATGACTTCTTGGGACCTTGCTAGGGGTCTTGGAAATTCAATCTAGGTGTAGTTGAATAAGGTAGCCAGTGTAGAGGGTCTGGAGCCTGCTTCCTGTGTTGCCGTGGTGCTGGGAATTGCCTTGGTTTTGGTGATTTTGCCACACCGGAAGCTAGCTTATTGGGACCAATGAATTTCCCCACAAAAGCTCCCAAAATTCAAGGTGAGATATCCACAGACCAATTGAGGGATGGCGGTTCAAGTGGTGTGACCTAGAACTGTTCGAATGGATCTCTTCAGCCTCTCGTGTCGCTCCGAGTTACCCAGGTTGGTAGCGCCGTGTAGATCGCGATCTCAAACTCGTACCACTCGATTTCAATGACTCGACCAAGTAAAACCTTTAAAATGTGAGCTGAAGGATTTACGAGATATGGGCTTGCTTTCAGGACAAGAACCGGTACGGGGAACGTTGTCGTATAAGTCTTCGGAGATCCAGGATCGAAAAGGAATTCGTGTACGTTCCACGCGAGTTGGGAACTGACTCAGTGCACGTCCGATAAGTACCGAAACTGCACGGATAATTTGATTGGCTGAGCGGCTTCCGAGTGATGTTCTTCAACGTTCCGTGAAATCGCTGAACATGACCCAGTACGTTCCTTGACGTTCCGTGGTGGAAACTCGTGACACTCGAAAACTGCACGGCGTTTGCAGATAGATATGCCTCAGGACTCCAGATAAATCCAGTTGTTCCGCGTACGTTCTGTGTAAATCGCTCACAGGGCTGCAAAGCGATAAGCCCGTATTCAAAGAGATAAGCGCCCTGATCCAGGTGATAAACAGCGCCTCCTCACAGATTCCTTGAGACGTAAAAGACTTGCTCGACTGCTCAGATCCCTTTAAGTCTCGACTTCACTCAGAGACTCCAGGTTTTCGGTACCGGGACCAGTAACTTCTTTCGAGCGAATTGGGTGCTTTTCCTCTCTTCGGTGGAAGTATGGTAGCTTTGGCAATGAGGTTGTTGTCGAGTTGTGGGTCCTTTCGAAGGCAATGGGCTTTGTGTTGGCCTTGTAGGAGTGGTTGATGGCTAAGTCAAAGGTTCCTGTAACTGTAGTGATGGCTGGAACTATCAAAATCGAACAGAAGGTTGTTGACTAATGACTTCAAAATGGGCCTTGAAACCACCTCAAAATGCCACTGAAATTCAATGAATCCAACTGTAGCTGTAGCACTGATTGTTGTATTTCAAAGAGATCCTTTTTCTCCTCAAGGAGGTCTCTTCTTCCCTTAAGAACTGCCTGCAAATCTATGCGTTCTGTTAATCCAATACGTTTCAAGAAGGTTCAGTTCCAGTGCTCAAGTAGTGGACTGGACCTCGCTGAAGCCCTTCCTCAGGGACAGCGGTAGTCAGGCAGTAAGGGAGCCTTGTCATGCCTCAGGAGTGTTCCAACACCTCCAGTAGGCACCAAACCAAGGGCTTGGCCCTGTCAGTCAGACAGGAGGGCCAGCAGAGCTCTCTGCTGGACCCTTTGGGCCAGCTCTCCTCGGGAGCAGGGGGCCTTCGTTATTCAATCGTGCAGTGGCAGTCTGGGAACAGTACTATCTGCTACCTCCTACTGCTTCTGCCCGGCCTCAACAGGATAGGTATCAACTGCTGCGGTATCAAAGGGGCTACAAGCTAATCAGGATCGGTCTCAATATTTCGTACTATTTTCTTAACTATGGTAGAAAGGACGATCCTTTCTTGCTGCTTTGCTGGGAGATAAGCCAACTGCGCATGCTGGAGTTGTAGGCCAGCATAGCTGTTGGAGCTATCCCAGAGGAATCCAGAGCTCTCGCTCCTAAAAGTTATCGGCGAGACTCAGCGCATTTCTTTTCAGTGACATCCGTGGACACCTTCAGTGGCATCTCATCGTCAACATCCATGTTGTCATCAATGCCGACTGGAGCTGTTGTTTTCTGCGGAGCCAATGTTGGTTGCTTTGCTTTGTTGCGTGCTTCCTTTCTTTGTATTGCTGTCGTATGGACAGCATCAGGAATGAACCCTTCCTCATCCGAAGAATTTCCTGCTTGTTTTCGACTGGCATGTAACTTCTTTATGGTTCTTGCCTTTGCGGCAGGGAGCACATCGCCTTTCAAGGCTCCAGCAGTGTCACTGGCAGCAGGACCAGTACC